TCCCAAACTGAGCTATCAGCCAGGCCACCAGCAGCCAATCCTTCTGCAGAGCCAAAGCCCCTTTCTAACAACCACAGCCTATTATGAACTCCAACAATACGACTGCTGGGACTGTCCCAAAAAACCCTACAAAGCCCCAACCAGCTCTGTGCCACTCCAGCAATCTGTTGATGACAGGGAGAGCAGTGCCAAGCAGCCACAGAGAAGCCAGAGCACCCTCAGTGCTGCCTCAGGCACTGAAGTGAGGCTAGTTGGGTTTTCTGTGGAAATCAGAAGCTGCCTGCATGCTGATAGGCAGATTCATAGAGCTAAAACCTGTTCTAGTTAAGATTTGGGGTTTGCTGAGGAATTAGAAGTAGCAGTGATTCTAAACTAGTGGCAAACACAGTGGTGGGAGCTCCTGGAGTCAGAATCTGGACTGAAACATTTATTGAACAAGCACCAAGCAGCAAACAAGAGACCACCACATCTACCAGCACTCACACAACTGAACTGATTTGGTTTTCCTTTAACATGAAAAGTGAGTGACAGGGAAAAGCTTCTGCTTCTAAACAGGAATCTGATGCTAAATCATGCTTTTTCAGGGCTTGATTTAACATCCCAGTCTGCAGCCAGAGGTTAGAAATGTGGAATATGTGACTTCAAGTAAAAAAGCAAGGAAGGTGGATCACACAGCACCTGTTTCTATCCTGGAAAGCAACAGAAGATCTCAGAACTGACATCAAGGCTCCCTAAAATCCAGCAGCCTAAGGAACTTCCACTGTGCCCATGACAGGACACGGCCACCACTGAGCTCTCAGCAGTTCCTTTAATCAGGGATCTCCTGTCAACAGGCAGGGGATGCCTTTGCTACAGAATCCTTCAGTTTTCAGGTCCAACAAATGCACTGCAGTCTTTGGGAAATTACAGCAAAGAATCAGAAATACACATGCCTTTTTTCCTTCTCAAAAGCAAAGGAAAAGCTGTAAAACTCTGATTTCAAGGCACATTTTAATTCATTATATATACAGCAACCAACTTTGGCAGACAAAGAGGTAGAGTATATAAGATCTTAATTGTGATAGTTTCCAAAAGACATTGCCTTCAAAGGCACCAGACTCTCCAGGGAATGAGCAACAAGACATTTCAGAGCACAAAGGAAACAACAGAACCATTTACACCACCTGTACAGCAAAAAGGGATGGGAAGGACAGCCAGGTCTGAGTGAGCAGAGCTCTACAGGAGAGAGCAGAATATTGGACATCTTCTGTAGGCCAAGAGGTGGCACTGCAGGCAGCAGGCAGCAGCAGCTGGCACTGGGACAGGGGCATTGCAGCACTCCCACAGACTCTGGCATGCTACAGGTCCTGCCTCTGCCCCAGCTGAGGTGCACAGAAGGACAAGGAGGGGCCCAGAAGGCAAAGCAGGGTCTGTGTTAGCTATAGGCACGCACACTTTTTATCCTATCACATCTCCTCCTGCAGTTCATCAGCAGAGCAAGACACAGCACAAGGAACTCAGGGCCAGCCACTCACTGCAAGGGCACTCAGTGCTTGTGCAGCTCTGCCAGGGCCATCCCTCTGCAGAGTCCCTCCCTCCCTCCCCCCAGAAAGGGCATCATGCTTTACACATCTTATATTCGGCAGAACTGGGAGTGCTCTCACGTTTCCTACAAACAGAAAAACAAGGCAAATCAGAGGTTTTACATGGCAAGAGGTTTTACATTTACACTGAAAGCACATCCTTAGTTTTGGCATTTAAGCTGCAGGTAAAGTCACAAACTGGGTCATTCTTTAGCCTCTCTTTGCATCTGCTGGACTGAGGAGATTTTAGCTTCATTCTGCTCCTGAACTGGCAGCAATGACCCAAGGAGCAGCACAGCCTTTCATCCAAAGGGATCATTCCAAGTGATGCCTGGTATGACCAAAAACTAACACCAGAACAGGTACAGGATTCCCACAGCTCCACCAGGTGCACTCTGGATTTAATTTTAATTACTGTGTGTTGTTTAGTATATATTTTCCAACCAAAAATGAAATATTAGTTTGTCTGGATTTAGATTCTGCAGTCCACTAACAGCAACTTTACAATACTTAAACATACAAGAACTAAAATTCACAATGACATTCTTATATAGGTCCCAAGTTCTTGAATAACTCCAGTTTTGCTTGAACAAAATCCCACCCCATACCAAAGCTCAGTGCTGTTACTCCAAGGCTCCAAGGAGTTCCACATTCCAAAAGAAACCATCCAGAATCACCAGTGTTTTGACACACCAGACCAGTAATTCCTCTTATCATGTCTAAAGGTAAGTTTGGAATGAAGAATTCTATTCTATCTCCTGATTCATTTTTTTCTCTCCAAAAATAAGCCAAATTAACCCAGAAAACACATCTTATCCTAATTAGAAACATATTTCTTCAGAGTGAAGATGATATTCCTTAATCTATAAATTATTTTGGAATAAACTCCAAGCTCAATGTTCCTACAAAAACTCACCAAAAATACTGAAAATTCACCTGTCCTTTACAAGTCAATAGAAACAAGATTATGCACATGAAAAGACCTTTGCATTAAGCTGGAATAAGAGAACCCATCACCTCCTCAGAATTTGTGCAGTGGAGAAAAGCAACAAAAAAAAGAAGATGCTGATTTAAAAAAAAATAAATTTGTAGTTCCAGCTCTGATGGGATAGCACAACAGTGGCAAGGAAAAGTCAAACTGAGCTGTCCTGTCTGCAAAGTGCTCTGCTCAAACGAGGCTGGAAGAGCCAGATTTTGGAAGAGCCCATTTGACCCTAGACAAGGGCAGGAGGAACCCCAACATTCATCACATGCATCTCACTGGGTGAGCATTAGGTTAAAATACAGGAGAGCACAGCAGCTTCAAAGCAACTGGATTTTGAGTCTTTTCAGGGCTACAGAACTCTGAATGTTAAAAAGAAATCACCTTTTCATAAGAAGGTTTCAAAAGATCTTGTTAGACCCTTCATTTATTCTCTTCTAGAAAGCAAAAATGCAGATGAATCAGTAATTGTGAGAGATGTGATGTGGTTTTGTTTGAAGGATGCACAACTACCTTTAGAGTTTTAGTCCCCAAAGGTGGTTCCAGCTTCTAATTACAGGGAATTAAACCATTAGCTAAGAGAAGTAACTCACCACTGGGATGGGTGCAGACATTCTTCTGAGTATTGTAGGCAATATGCTACTCATTCTTCAAACACAACACCAAGAAATGTGATTTACAATCACTGGAAGCTCTTACTGACATTGCTAAATGGTAATTCTCTACATATTATATCCTGTTCTCCCAAAATGAATGAAAAATTAAGATATTCTTTCCTACAGGAAGCCAAGGTTCCCAGCTAGATGGACTCCACACTCCTGAAATTCCAAGCAAACCACAATAAAACAGACACTTAAGCTGCATTGCAAAAAGTCCAAATGAAGTGGAAAGTTATACCTTTTCATTAATTCATTTGTGCAGTTTCTTCCATCTCAGCTGGGACATTAGTTTTTAAAATACAAATTTCCTTGCAACTCTCATCAACTGTGTACGAGCTGAACAGCAGAAAGGGAGAAAGGTCTAATTGAATGTCCCATCCCAGGGATTTCCCACACACCAGAAAGAGAGGCCAAGGAAAGATCTGCTGCCATTTGAGGCCACAAACCAGCAAGGATCAGGGGCTGGAAGCACAACAGCTCAGCTGCATCAGGAACTCAGACACCAAACAGGAGATGGAGGCTTTCATAAAAGGAGATCAGATCAGGGTTTTCAGACAAGAAAGAGCTTTAAGAGGCAGATGTTCAGAGAGGAAGATGAAGGGAAGCACTAGGCACAATAAGGCTTTTCATGCTGCCAGATATTCTGGAAATGTCAGAGTCTTTAATTTTTGATGATGCTGCTTTAGATCCCTCCTGCTTTCTACACTCTGAGAAGTCCCTCCACGGGTGAAGGCAGCAAGTGCTGCCCTCAAGTGCCAAGAGCTCTTCTCTGGCCCATCCAGGCTGCAGAATATTCCAGTACTGAATAAAAGCAGGGGCTCAAAAGCACCAAATTGCTCAGCAGCACACTCTGGCCCTTGGACTGATACTGCACTGCCTATTTAAGGCTAAAACCTCACTGGATATAAAGCACCTCCAGGGCTCTCCCAAGTCCTCTGTGCACTTCATTACAAATATGAACCACAGGAATATTGCCTCTGGTTTGCTTCATTTAAAGCATCCCTCCCTTTGTTTCATGGACTCCAGATAAATCCCAACAGATTCTGGAAAAAGACAGCACTGCTTTGATGAGATGCTCATCCTGACATTCTGTGTGTACCACCAAACCTGCTCTGGACTGTCAGTGTTTTGCATTTTACAAAATATTTCCCTGACAAAAAGGTTTTTTTTCCAGAAAATAAAATCAGACATCACAGCAAAAAGCAATGCACAAAGAGGAATTTAAATCTCCTGCCTCTCCATGAAAAACCCCACATAAACCCCAGTTGTTTTGAAGATAAAGCTTAAAACACCCTACATGTCTCATTAAAAATAGAACACTACTTGCTTGTGCACAAATCTAGTATTTTACAGTTAATTTTGCAGGTCTTTAACATAGAGACACCAATACTGGGGCTGCAGGAAGAGAAGAAAAACCTGAAAACCTTCTGGCAGCACAAGCCCACACAACCTAGACTCCCCCTGGCTTTAGGAGATAAACTGACAGGTTTGAAGCAGATGGACAAAATTCTTTCTTTGGCAAGTGGACACTGCCAAACACAGGCTTGAGAACAGGGTTTTTTCCTTCCTTGAAATTAGTGCAAGTGTTAATTAGCAGCTTAGCTGAACAGCAGATCCAAAACCAAAGTTAAATTCATGGTTAGGCTTTAGCTTCCATCAGCTGCTGGGAGGAGCTCACACAAAATCAGACATTTGAAAAAGAAAGGGCACACAAAGCTCAAGAAACTTAAACATCAGCACAGCTTTGGCTCAGTTATTTGGAAATTTGCAGTATTAATAAAAAGGAAGCCTACTCACCCATTCTGTGAGAAGAATTTCTTGTAGATCCAAAAGGCTGCCAGGAGCACCACAACTACCACAATCACTTTAGGAGGAATTCAAGTGAAAAAAAAGCACCTTAGAGTGATAAAGGTCATCTCCAGCTCACAAAAAAGCAATAAAAACTTTGCAGAAATAGCATTGCTTTCATCTACAGGTCTATCCCACCTCTATCCCCCCAAAAAAACCCCACAACCCAACTTATTTATGGAATGAGCCATGTAAATTAAATATTTGATTCATCAAGATGGTTCAGCTCAGAACCAGTGACCACCAAGATGGCAAAACCCCACCAGCTCAGAAACTACAACAGGAATGACAAGGCCCCAGCATTACTTCTGACAAGTTTGTACAAATCTGGGTAACAAAAGCAAGGACAGAGGATGGACTGAACACTTCTGTTCACTGGCAGAGTTATTTACTCACACCCTCAGTAAAGCCAAGCTCTGAAATTTATCCAAGTGGCCAAGCTGTTGGAAATTGCCTTTGAAATGTGACCTCACCACGTGAGAAAATACACATTTCACACTGAATTAAGCTATAATAACTAAGCAATCTTTTTTTGAATCATGCAGCTTTAACCAAACTCCAAAATCGCCCTGTTGCAGTCACAGGTGACTGGAATAAAATGGATTCTCACATAAAAAATGTAATTTGTACTGTATTTTTTTAAGGTTTTAGAAAATACTTACCACAGATGATGGCTATAATATATCCACCTGAAAACAGAAGGAATCAGAATCACAAGAGGAACATAAGTGCTTCTTACTCAAACATTATTACAAAAATATTCACAGAGCAATTTCAAGTCAAGTACTTCTATCAACACAATCTTTGAAGCAGACTCATTTAAATAATAATATTTAACTTAGAATTATGAATATTTTAATTCATTTTAACAAACCCTATTTTTCCCATCAAAACAAAGAAGGAAGCTGCATTAAATCATTTCTCCTGACTATAAAAGGAGTGTTCACTCAGCTGCATTTTCATCCTGGTGGGGATTTTGCAGTGCACACTTACTGAGCTGGCAGGTTGGCACTGCAGGCTCCCACTGGTTGTTTCCAATGTACCGAATCCGAGCCTCCCCGTGCAGGGTGTACCCCGTGTAGCATTCAATGGTAATGAAATCCCCCACCAAGTAGGAAGGTTTTTGTCCAGCTATCACTCTCCCATAACTTATGACTGGAGTGGAACCAGAACCTTCAGGCTCACCTGGAAAGAAAAGGGGGGAGAAAAAAAAATAAATGTATTACTACGTCAGATGTTTAAAACTTGTCAGTGTGTCCTGATTTTAGCAGTTTTACTCACAGGTACAGGGCTGTAAAGCACCCCAGGAACTCTGTTCTTGACAGGTCACTGTCATCTCTGCAGAGCCACCAGGGAAGGAGCAGCCAGCTTTGCACTGGATCTGCACAGACTCTCCTTTTGTATAGGCAGGCTTGCTTGGAACCAGGACCCCATTGGGGATCTTCGGGGCAGGACACACATCTGCAGTGACTAACACAGGAATTTAAAACAAGTTTAGTGAGAATAAAGCTTATTTCATAACTCAGTAACTCATTCTACAAACACAAGCTGCCTTCACGTAAGAAAAATAGCTCAGCACATGTCAGAAGTTTAACTCTACCCCAATTTTAAGTACAAATATTCCCCTTAGAAAACTTAAACATCACTGTAGCTATTCATTAGGGTAATACATGGCAGCTCAGAAATCCTTACTGGTTCATTATTTCTCTGAGCTCTAGAATAATTTCTAGAAAGTAGGAGCTGAAGAGCTGCATAAAAAAAACACACACAAAGATTTCAACTCCTCCAGAGGGACACCACAGCTTTCCTCGCTGTGCATGCTCCTAGTTCTCTGTATCAAATATTTTCTCCTGCACTCCACATCTTTTCTCCTGCCTTCACCCATGAAATCACCAAAACATCAGGATGCTCAATTTTAGCTAAAACTCTTTCAACACACAAGAGAAAAGGGAATATTACAGAAAGTCTTACTTTTCTCACAGGTTGGTTTTGGAGGATCCCAGGCGTTATTTTCTTTACAGGTAATTACATCTGCTCCAACCAAGAAATAACCTTGATTACACTCAAACACAACCGAGTCCTTGTATTTGTAGGTAAGCCCAAATCCAGATATTTTTCTCCCATTTTCAACTCTGGGGTCTTCACATTTGACCACTGAAAGAGGCGAAACATTTGTTAACACAAACATTTCTTAACAAACGAGAACAAAGCTTGGAAACATCTGCTAACACAAACACTGCACCAAACACAACATCCTTTTCCCCAGTGTCAACTTCCCCAAGTTGTTTTGGAGAAGCTTTGTAGAAACACTGATTCCTGCACTTCCATGGTGGCTGTGTTTTTAGGAACAGGATTCTTCCTTAGCTTTTTACAAGTCCTAATCCAGTCCCCCACATCCTTTCCCTTGACACAATTTTTCTGCAGAATTTGTGGTCTCCCAGTTCCTTCACTTTTGACCTTGTCACTTCTACCAACAAAACCCTCACAGAGCTATTTTTCAAGCTTTAACTTAAATTTTAGTCATGTTCTGTGTCATAATCCATCAATATCCACCATGCTGATGTAATTTCCTTTGGAACTGTACCAAACTTTGTACCAGAGCATTTGTTCCTTCTTTCCTAGAGGCAAAGTCCATTCTCCCCACCCCACTTCCACGGAAAGGGCCAGACATTGAAAAAAGAAACAATAAAAATCCCAACAACCTCGACATTCTGGAGGAGGCCCACTCCAAACTCCATTTGAGTGTTCATCAGACGTGCAGTAAATCGTGTCTGAGCCAATGAGGGAGAAGGGATCACTGCCCTTGGGGACATCCTGACACCTGTAGGTCACCGTGCTCTGGTACACGTAGCTGGCTCTCTCCTCATAGCCCCCGTTGGCTATTTTGGGAGGTGGCTCACAAGGAATTCCTGGAAATAAAGCACAAAAATTGGTCAAATTGGTTTTGCTGTGTTAGCTGGTTCATCTCAAAGAGCAAGCCTTGGTTTTCCAGTCATTTTACTGGAATCTGACACAGCCACTTGAAGTCATGGTACAGAACCTCAGCTTCAACAGGAGGTTGATCTTAATATGAGATAATATGATTTTAATATGAGATAATTACCACCAAAAGTGACATTTTTCATTTCCTCAGGCATAACCCAAGTAGTTAAGAAAGATGCCCTTGGGGACATCCTGACACCTGTAGGTCACCGTGCTCTGGTACACGTAGCTGGCTCTCTCCTCATAGCCCCCGTTGGCTATTTTGGGAGGTGGCTCACAAGGAATTCCTGGAAATAAAGCACAAAAATCGGTCAAATTGGTTTTGCTGTGTTAGCTGGTTCATCTCAAAGAGCAAGCCTTGGTTTTCCAGTCGTTTTACTGGAATCTGACACAGCCACTCGAAGTCATGGTACAGAACCTCAGCTTCAACAGGAGGTTGATCTTAATATGAGATAATATGATTTTAATATGAGATAATATGATTTTAATATGAGATAATATGATTTTAATATGAGATAATTACCACCAAAAGTGACATTTTTCATTTCCTCAGGCATAACCCAAGTAGTTAAGAAAGAAACCATCCCTGTTTTCCCACCATTTTTTGTACTGGAAAGTTACAGCTGTTTGTAAATGAACTTACCCCCCTCTGAACAGAAAATCAAACACAGCAGTAATTCACTCACTTTCACAGTAAGGCAGACCTCCACTCCAGCCAACACCTTCATTCTTGATATCACAGGAAATCTCCCCCTTACCCCGCAATCTGTACCTACACAGGTAAAAAATTTGAAGATGTGAAACTTAAATTTCTCATTTCTCCAACAAGCACCAAAAAATTCGTTCTTATCAGTAATGCTGTTCTGTGATTACAGGAACATAGCACAGCAAGGTTTTGCTGTAATGAGAAGAGAATCTTGTTTATTTTGCTGACAGTCTCACTTTGAAAACAAAACAGAAACAAAAGACATCACTAAGGAACTGTAGCAGTCTTACCATTTTCAGAAATACTGTCTAATATTAAAGTCCTAAAATCACTAATGCTCAAAGAAAAGGAAAAAAAAAACCTCCTTAGTGTTGTTGACTTAATTATTTGCTACAGGTAGAATTCAGATTTCAGGTCAGAACTGGAACAGAAAATTTGGGTTTATTTCAAATCTGGTGTAAACATTAAAAAAAATAAATCGTTAAGTTCACCAAAACACTTACCCCTCTTTACAATGAAATGTCAATTTTGAACCAAATGTAAGATCTGTTGGGTCAAAATAACCATTTTCCAAGTCTCCTGGGTAAATACATTTTCTCGCTGGGAGAAAGGGGGGAAAAAAGAGAAAAGAAAAAATCTACATTTTTGTAGTTACATACAAAATCAAAATCTTTGGCACTTATCACTCTTACCCACACCAGCATTTTCCAAGCTTCTTTAAAATATGGCAAAACCCTAATTCCCACTCGCAAACCAACTGGAACTGTTAAATACCAGTGGGGAAAAAAGGGGCACAACAAATCAAATTACCTGTACAGAACGCGCCCTTGGGTGACCACTGCAAGTCATCACCACACGTCCAGCTCAGTGGCTTCCCTGGGACCCTCGTGTACCCCGGCCGGCAGGTGAAGGAGACTCTGGTCCCAGGTGGGAAATCCTGCATTTCCCTGGAGCTCTGGTCGAGCTCTGCGTACTGCAGCCGCTCCGGCCTGGGACACGAGCCTGGGAAGAGGAAGGAAAAAGGGAAAAAACAACACAGCATCTTAGCAGCAAGAAGAGAAACACCCTGAGGTGTAACAGCACAGGAGACAGAACCATTCAAGAGCTCTTAAGGATATATTTGAGTCGTGTCCAATTTTTTAATTTAGGTTTTAGCTGCATGCAGCGTCCAGCTCTACATGTGTATAGGGCATGCTACTCATTGTTTCCTCCAGTTCTTTAGTCACTCTACCCAGACAATGCACTTCCTTCCAGATCCTACTTTCAGATTTTTGTCTGTTTGCCATTTTTTTGTAGTTAGACACACGCCTTCACTCACCGCACACCCATTTCTTTTGCTGCATGAAAAGCAAACAAGCCAGCCCACTCACAGAGCTCATTGTCCCTTCTTACGGAAAAAGGACAGCGGGTCCAAGGGACACAAAGCGGAGTTTAAAATCATCTCCAGGGCCAGGCTGGGCGGAGGTTCAGCGGCAGGTGTCCCTGCCCAGGAGATGCGCTTCGAGGTCCCTCCCCAGCCCGACAGAGCCGCAATTCTCCGATTCAAACCCGCCCAAAGCCTCGCGGTTGCACCACCGCCCCAGAGCCATTTCCTTCCCGCTCCCCTCGCCCCCCCGGCAGGCCCTGAGGGCTCCCTCAGCACCCTCAGCGGGGAGCAGGGCACGGCCACGATCCCAACCCCGACCCCAGTCCCGATCCCGATCCCGACCCCGACCGCTCCTCCCAGCCGCGGTCCCCTGAGGGCTCCGCGCCGCGCCCGCCGCTCCGAGCGCCCCTTCCCCACCGGCACCGCAAAGAGCGAGCGGCCGCTGCCTCACCCTGAGCCTGGGCTCCGCCGAGCTGCCACAGCACCAGCACGGGCGGCAGCAGAAGCGGCAGCATCAGCAGCGGCGGCGGCACCGAGAGCCGCCCCATGCCCGCAGCGGGGCCGCGGCTGCGGCCGCTCCGCTCCCTCCCGGCGCCGCGGAGACGCAGCGCGCGGCCGGGTGCGCATGCGCGGCCCGCCCCGCCCGCCATGGCCGGGCCCGCCCGCCGGGCCCCTCAGCGCCGGGGTGGCACCTTGGGGACAGCCCGGGCCGGTGTTCAGCCGGGGGTCGCTGGTGTTCCCCGGGCCGAGCTGCCCGTGCCGGTGTTACACACAGGAATGCAGGGCTAGGGCGGTTTCCAGGCGCGGCCGCTGTGTTGTGATGAGTTAATGCACACACGAATGACGCAGTCCCGGCTGGGTTCAACGCATGCTCAGGGAAGGCCCCGTTTGACCCGAAAGTGTGACTTTTAGCAGGATAATAATCGCTGTTCAGCTGAAGAATACATCGGCCTTGAGTATTTTGCCAAATACATCATCAGCACCTTGATTTCCTTCATCCTTAAAGCTAGTTTATTGGGGATGCCCTTGACTAAGGGATGCTCCTGCCTACTCCTTTTTTATGGATTAGGATTGGAAGTATACAAAGGTCTTCCACCAAAGAATGCCCTGACTTTAAGTAGTCTTAGAATATGTGGATATATTCCATATTTTGCAACATCCTCAGCGCATTACAGCAAGGAGATAAAATCCTTTCCTGGGCAGCTCAAGGAAAGAGGATAAAGTCAAAGTGTATTTTAAGTGCCACACGTGGAACACCAACAGTGATAAATTAAAAATAACAGCCAGCTCAGGATGGACATCCCCGTGCAGGGCTGCTCGCTTTTGGAAGGTAAATCCCGTGAGTGGCAGAGCAGCATTAAAATAGAACAGCCAAAATTTTAAAAAAAAAAAAAAAAAAACAAAGCCGAAAAGACTTAAAATTCCAGGCAGGCCTCAAAGAAGACACAGAATTGTCATTATCAGCTTTTATTAGGTTAAGCATTGGTAGAGGAACACCGCACATAAGCGTTGCTGGAAAGAAATAAGCATGTAAAAACAGCTGTAATTAAGACATTAATTACACATGGTTACTCCCACCCTTGTGCAGGAATGTTTTGGTGGGCACAGGGAGACACGGAATTGGGGTGATGGCCAGTGCATTATTGTTTCTCCCAACCAAAGCTTGGGGTTATCCATTTGGTTATCCAGTTTTTGGGGATAAAGGAAATATTCTTCATCAGGAGCAGCACACAGAATTCCCTCCGAGGCAGCACCCGCACTGCGTGCAGTCTGAGCCTCACTAGATCCTTACAGTAACTGCTGAGAGCAGAAGAGCATTGGAGATTTACAGTAAAATGTCCTCTTTTTTTGCCACAGAATTCCAGTCTCCACGTGAGCGGTGCTTCCTCACTGCAGGGAACGAGCCGGGTGCCTGGTGAGCAGCAGCAGGGATGAGATCTCTTTCCAGCCTAGGAAAGATGATATCCTGGTGTTGGAATCAGGATTTCCTGGTTTTGTACTGGTGCGTAGAGATTCCATTGCCACCCGGAGAGGGAGGAGGGAATTTCTGGGAAACGCTTTGTTTCAATGAAATCTCCCAGAGCAACCCAAAACTGATATTGTTTACATGTCCCACTTTGTAGGTGAAGTGCTGCTAACAGTGAAAATTCACTGCTGGCTGCAATAGGTCCACCATAGAAAACAGATCCAGTTGTAAGTAAAAAACCATTGTAGCAAGTGTGAAAGCAATAAAAAACCCCCAGGAACCAAGTTCAGTGTCTTTTCTGACTCTACTACTGCTGAGGCAGTTTTTCAGCTTTTTCATAATCTATACAATTTAAAAGCAGCTTTAAGTCAGAAGCAAGGACTGGTGTGGAAGTGCACACCAACCATCCAGATTGTGGAAAAGGAAAGACACGCTTTGGGGGTGGTGTCAGAGGGAAACTGGATGTTTTTAAACCCCAGTTTAAATCTTCTATTCAGCAAAAGAAAATATTCTATCAGAAGACGAAGGGGAAAAATGTTTCTGCTTCAAAGATTGCATTAGGAAGGTAGTCATTCAAGGAGACAATGCAGTCAGCAGTATAAACAAGTGACAGTATAGTTATTGCAGCTCTAACTGCTATTTTGTGCTGAGGAATATAAATCCATACCTCCTATGGCAGACACGAGCCTTTGTGTTCAGTGTCTGGGTTCAGGGGGGTTCTGTAATTATAGTTTTCATACGTGTGATAATAGCTACGTAAAAAAGAAGAAAACAATGAATTGCTTTGTAAAAGAACGCTCGGCTGGGTTTCTTTTAAGAAAGAGAGGCTTGAAATAAAATGACCACACCATGAGTTCCAGGTTGTAGCATTTGCAAGCCTGAGCTGAAGGTACGAAATTACAAAGCCCAGACACACTGAGGCAAATATTTCAAGTGTATCAAGTGTTATAAAGCTTGGGACTTGGCACCAAGGGACAGGAACAAACAGCCAGAGCTGCCTTACCCTTCCTTCTGCTTGGAAATTATTTTCCAGACAACACCTGCCCCCAGGAGCAGCAGAACTGCTGCAGCTGCCACTCCTGAGGGAGAAGAACCTGGGTTATTCTCACTGCGTGTGTAAAGTACATGAAATGCACAACAGGGTGTATCTGCTGAGTAAGCAGAGGGAGGCTGTGCCACTGAGCCACTGAGCTGGGGACAAAAATGTTTGTAAGCTGCTTACCTAGGCCTAGTGACCCGGGCTTGGGGGATGCTGGAGGGAAGGGAAAAAAGGAAAATCAGCAAACTGTTCTACCAAAGTACAGCGTTTCTCAACTGTCCTTAATCAACACCAATAAAGCTTTTAGAATCACAGGATGCTTTGTGTTGAAGGGGTCTTAAAGCTCATCCAGTTCCCCGTGGGCAGGGACACCTTCCACTGTCCCAGGTGCTCCCAGCCCTGTCCAGCCTGACCTTGGGCACTGCCTGGGATCCAGGGGCAGCCACAGCTTCCCCATGCCAGTGTCTCACTAACACCCACAGCACCAGATTTCTGAAAACCACACCCTTGTATGCTTCCTTTTAAAAATACAGACAGACACTTGCATGTTTAAAATGCATTTGCATGCTTGTGTACGATCTTTCTTTGGTTTACATTCCACTCACTCAGTTTACAGGCGGGCACGGGAGGGTCCCAGCTGAAATCCTCTTGGCACTGGGTGTGACTGATGCCTTCCAGCACGTAACCATCGTCACACTCAAGAGTGATGTTAGTGCCAGAGCGATAAGTATTTCCTTTAATGGCTTTTTTAACACCTTGGACATCCGGGAATTCACATCTGATCTCTGAAATTGGACGCAATAAGAAGAGGGCGTTTAGAGGGAACACGAAATATGAGAAACACAGCTGTGGGTTATTTCGGACACTGCTCTTGAATTCCTTCTGAGTGTAGCCAGGAATTCATTCTCATTCCGCATTCTGCAGAACTGGGAAAGTGCCTCAGTCCCACGTGGAGCTCCAGACATCAAAGGAAGCAGGAGCTCACCTTTGCACTGCGGGAGGGGCTGGCTCCAGGAGCCCGACCCCGTGCAGTTGATGAAAGCATTCCCAAGCAGTGAGTAGCCAGGATCGCAGCTGTAGGACACGGCGGCTCCGGGGGGAAAGGTGGCAGAGCTGTTGCCTTTCAGCCTCCCGTTGGTGATGTTTGGAGGCTGCTGACACTTCACAGCTGGAAAGTCAGGGAGAGACAATCAGCAGGATGCTGAAGGGTGGCCAGGGAGTGACTGAGGCGCTGACCCTCTGCAGCCTCGGCTGCTCCCTTTGAATTTCTTCCCCTGCACTCAACAGCAGCCCTGTAACTCCAGCAGCCTTTGGAAAGGCTAAAAACTCGAGCTTGTTCTTATCACACATTCTGTACTCAGCTTTAGACTTTCTACAGATCTTTCCCTAAGGCAAGACTTGTTAAATGTCCTTTGTTCTTCACTCTCTGCAGCCAAAACACACCTTGACATACGGGAGGGGGATGGCTCCAGGCTCCAGATGCTGTGCAATAAATGGATGCTGTCCCCAGGAGGGAGAAGCCAGGCTCACAGATGTAGTTTACAGATGTTCCCACAGTAAAAACTGCTTTTGCTGGGCCACGGAAAGACCCGTGGGTGATGTCTGCAGGCTTGGAGCAGTGCAGCACTGAAAACAGAAATGTGCAGATCAAAGCAGAGCTCAGAGAGACAAGAGGAAAAACTTCTGAGCAGCTGGGGAAGGCTGAACGCTCCCTCCCACAGCACTGACCCCAACCCTCTGCAAAGCTCCCTCAGAAAAGCAGGACAGGTTGGGAGGAGGAGTTAGTGATTAGTAAATCAAATCTTGCCTCTTCAGGTAAGAGACCTACCTGGCTTTGTTGTGGTGTCAGGGTGGTGATAACGTTCTGACAGTCCATCTAAATGCAGCATTAAGAGTTTAAAAACATGGTTGAGCAAATAAAATATATACATTTACCTTCATTTCCCATCATCCTGGTGTTAACATTTCCAGGAAAAAATTCACAGCTCTCTGATATTCGATGTCCTGCAGCTACCAAATTCCTCATTTCCAGGGAATTAAGAGAACGTAGATTATGGATTGCAACAAGCAGTATGAGAAAGTGCAAATCATGCCAGTACTTACAGCATTACCCAAGCCCTGGCTCATCTCCTGTGTGTGAAGAAAGGCATAAATGAAAGAAAAAATTTCTGGATTCTCCTTAAAGTAGTTGGAGCAAACAGGAAAAATAAAACCAACTTTGTCTTCCGTGAGTGGACAGGAGAGAAATCGGGTGAGAAACCAGGAGGAATGTGCAATCCCAGCAAGGCCCAGAGCTGATTCTTACCCTGCTCACACACAGGAACAGGCGGGTGCCACCTCCTGTCCCCTCGGCACTGGGACCTGCGGTGGCCTCGCAGGGTGAAGCCTCGGTGGCACTTGAAGGTGACAGAGTCCCCGTAGGTGTAGCGGGGCTTGGGGACAGCCACCCTCCCGCTGTGGATCCGTGGGGCTGGGCACACCACCCCTGGAAGAGAAGATCCTGGTTAGGGGCACAAAGGCATGTGAGGGCTGCAGTGAACACGTCCTGGAGTCCATTCTCAGTGTGCTCAGAGCAGCTTCACAGGTAGGACTTGGAGACTCACATAAGAATCATTCCAAGAACTGAGGGGTTTTAGTTCTCTTAGGTACCTTAAGGGTACCACAGTATTATATATATAAACATAGATGGTGTGAATATATTCTAATAAATACATGAAATGGTGTAGAAGTCTGTCAGTACTGTCATTCTCATGAGTGCTTTACTATCCCAACCTCAAAAAGCAATTCCAGCTGAAAAAAAGACTAATTGCAATGAGCAACCCCTGCAATACATCCTTGTGCTTTGGTTAACAGTACAGGGTTTGCAAAATTCCATTTCAATGGTACTCAAAATATCACTCTTCTATTACAAAACACATTTGTTACTTGATTTCTTTTTTATTGTTGTGAAACAAAAGGGACAAGTCCCTGCAGGCATCTCACAGCTCTTCACTCTGCATTGCTGTGACAGATCAAAAGCTTACATCTGGAAGATTTTTAGAAGAAACCAAATATACAAGCATAAAAAAAAACTATCCCAGAGGAATATTATCCTTTAATAGTCTTATTCATTTAATTCTATTTATTTAAAGGAAACGCTTTTTAATTTTAAGGACTTAGTATGGCAATTCTGGCCCCGATATAGTGGTGACCTACTTACTCTGACAGATGGGAGGCAGACCAGCCCAGGCAACGTGTCGTCCCAAAATCTCACATCTCCTGTGGGACTGTCCAACCAGTCTGTACCTGGAGGTGCAGAGAGGGAAATATCAGCTCATACCAAGTCCTTCAGCTGGGTTTTTCCCTCCCCAGAGGTTTCCTTCTGCAGCCTCCTGATTCCAGCTGATCACCAAGGTCTCTCTGCTGGTTTGACACCTGGGAAAGAAGGACACCAAGTTGCTTCTTCCCACATCCAAAAGAGCAACACTGACCCCAAAAACTCTGGGTTAGGTTGGTCAGGTGATAAATGATGACCCAACTGATTTCCAAAGGGCTGGAGCCTCCTTGCAGCACGGCCTTGCTCCCACTCTCAGCTCCTGCTCGAGGCCATCTGAGAAGGAAAACTGAAACTGGTTTGCAAATTAATCTGCTGAGCACAGGAGGGGAAAATGAGACAATTCTCCCTTTCTGGAGCAGGCAGCTATGGCAGAATTAGAACCAAAATTCCAGTTCAGGTCTGCTGTGGGAGAACAGCTGTGCAGAGGAGTGGGCTCTGATCCTTTACCCAGCACCAAAGTCGGACAGGGAGGCAGCAAAGGCAGCGTGGGACTCACCCTTCGTCACACGTGTGGCTCACGGTTGACCCAAAAAGGAGATCTGTCAGAACAACAACTCTGCCATTCCTGGGGGGCTCTGGGTGTCTACACTGCTTCCCTGGGAAAGAACAAGGCTGAGTTTAAACTCCTCTCTTGAGGTTGTGTAACACACTATGAGAAGGCACCTTAAGGCTCTGTCCAAGTTCTGCCACCAGTAAAGATGTGATTTTGAAAAGGCCCAAAGCGGCCCAGACCATGTGACTAGTAAAGCCATGTACCAATCTTTCCTTCAAAAACCCACAAAATACACAATTTCCAATAACCAACACCAAATGGATGGAGCTATTCACTTTTACAGAACTCTAGGGCTTCAGACCACGTGTGGTTTTGGAGGCAAGTCAGAGTTTGGGGCGCTCCGGGGCGTCTCGAGTATCCCGGCCGGCAGCTGTAGCTCACAGTGTCCCCAACAGCAAATTCCAGCTGATTTTTGTATTCCCTGGTTAGCTCAGCAAAGGTGAGGTTTGGAGGTGCACCACAGCCAGCTATCAGGGGAGAAAACATAGGGAGAAACGGAGATGTCAACTACAAAAATTGTTTAAAAATGTATTTTGAGTAGGTACAGCTTAAAACCATTGTGCAAAATGGGTAAAAAAAGGGGAGGGTAAAGGATTCAGAATTTTGGGAAGGGTGAGGATGAGTCCTACAGGTAGAACTCTCAGCTTAGTCCAAGCTTAGAAGCACAGTGTACCTGCACACTGAGGGAGAGGGAGGCTCCAGTTGCCGGAGCTGGTGCAGTAGATGGACGCCTCTCCCCGCAGGCTGTAGCCAGGGTCACAGCTGTAGTTCACAACCAGCCCAGCGGGGAAAACCTCCAAGTCCTGCCTGTCGTGGCTTCCTTTGGCAATATTTGGAGGTGGAGGGCATTGCAGCACTAAAGAGAGAGGACAAAACAAAACTGAGAAAGGGGCAGGGCCATGGTGCTGGGACAGGCTGGGGAAGTTGGGGCTGTTCAACCAGAAGAGAAGGCTCCAGGGAGACCTTAGAGCCTCTTCCAGTGCCCAGAGGGGCTCCAAGAGAGCTGGAGAGGGATTTGGGACAAGGGATGGAGTGACAGGAATGGCTTCCCACTGCCAGAGGACACGGTTAGATGGGACATTGGGAAGGAATTCTGTCTGTCAGGGTGGGCAGGCCCTGGCACACGGTGCCCAGAGCAGCTGTGGCTGCCCCATCCCTGGAAATGTCCAAGGCCAGGCTGGACAGGGCGTGGAGCAAGCTGGGATAGTGGAAGGTGCTCATGACAAGGGCTGAAACAAACTGATTTTTAAGCTTCTTTAACTCACTGTCATAGGAGAAGAATCACTATTTTCAGAAATCTGCCCAAACCCTGCAAAGGAGGGGGAGGTGAAGGGGAAATTACAAGGCTTCAGCGCACAACAATTTAAACCAATTAGAAGCAGCTGCAAAACTTACTTTTGCAAAACTCCTGGGCTTCAGACCACGTTAGATTTTCAAGACATGTGATAGTTGGTGATATCTGTGGCTGTTGCACGTATCCAGGCCGACAAGTGTAGTTCACAGACATCCCGACAGGAAACTCAGTCTGATTTTCATATTGCTCACTTAGCTCAGCAAATAGCAACGGTGTCGGTGTGCCACAACCGGCTGCCAAGAAACAAAACGGGCATGAGAAATATGTCCTTGGCTGTGAAATGCAGCTAAAGAGAAACAGGTGCATTGATAGGCACTGTTAAACCCCAAGTTATTAACGCATCTTCTATGTAGTCTGACATTTGTTTGCATCAAATAACACTCAGCGTGCGAGGACACAGGCACCTAATTCATGTGGCCTTAAAAAACAGAATAAAACAGTGCCCAAAAATTAGTTTGGGCAGTGTGGTGCCTTCACACAACTCTGAGCTGAAGTACAGAAATCTTTAATTTCAATATTTAGAACACCCAAGCCTGTCTCCTTTTGAGAAACTTGAGCAATGCCACCAGCTTATTCCCAGTGCCACCAAAGTGAGCAGAGCTCCTGCTGTGGTTCTCCCTGTGCCGTGCAATCCTGCGGGTTGGCAGGTTTGCCTGATCCAGGGTGAGCCTGGCATGCGATAAATGCTGAGCCTGGCACGGGGGGGATGCTGAGCCTGGCACGGGGGGGATGCTGAGCCTGGCACGGGGTGGAGGCTGAGCCTGGCACAGGGGGGATGCTGAGCCTGGCACGGGATGGAGGCTGAGCCTGGCACGGGGTGGAGGCTGAGCCTGGCACAGGGGGGATGCTGAGCCTGGCACGGGATGGAGGCTGAGCCTGGCACGGGGTGGATGCTGAGCCTGGCACAGGGGGGGATGCTGAGGCAGCCCCACCTGCACAGCGTGGGTAGGGAAGGCTCCAGTTGCCCCAGGCCGTGCACAGCACGGAGGGGTCCCCGAGCAGGGAGAAGCCAGGCTGGCAGCTGTAGCTCACGGAGGTGCCACTGGTGAAGTTCATCCCCGGCTGGGCACTGAGCGTGGCGTGGGCGATGACCGGGGGCGGAGGGCACGGCCGCACTGCCAGGGAGGAGCAGAGAGCAGAGCTTGAGGGGTTTCACCCAAACGAGGGGCACTGGCACCACAGCAAAGCCCTCCCAGCTGGCTCACCTGGCTGGCAGGTGGGCACAGCGGGCACCCAGCGGCTGTCGGGCTGGCACGTGGCCCCACGGCTGCCCCTCAGCACGAAGCCTGGGTGGCACTGGAAGGTGACGTTGTCCCCAGGGTGGTACACAGCCCTCCGGCCCTCGGCCACCTCTCCGTCCTTGATGCTGGGGCTGCTGCAGGTGATCGCTGCGGGGGAAAAGCAGCAGAGCTCGGGCTGGGGGCACGGCTGCCAGAGCTGAGGGTGCTGCTCTGGTTTTGGGAGCCGTGTGAGTGCGGTGCTGTCCCTCTGCACCGAGGGCAGCAGCGCTGGCAGCTCACCTTCACACCGGGGGTAGGGGATGCTCCAGACTCCCGATGGCAAGCAGGAAATTGTGGTTTTCCCAGTGAGGACGTAGCCCGGGTCACAGTGGTACTTCACTGCCATGCCAGGGATGAACTCTGCCACCTCCTTGCTGTCGTGCTGGCCATTTCTGATAATGGGAGGGGAAGGACACGGCGGCACTGCAAGGAGGGGGAAACATCCCAGCTAGCCAAGAGCTGCTACCACAAACCCCTCTGGGGTGAGGCAGCCTTTTAGCTTTGTTCTTCCCCATTAACTTCTGCCCGACAGCAACAAGAGCTGTCCCTGAATGATATTTCCATCCTACCCTCTCTTACCTGCCAGCGTTCATGCTTTCTGAGCTTATTGACATAAAAATGATAACTTCTCACTCTTTAGGCAACTACAGTGGTTAGTTTCCATCTGTGACCCTAACAACTTACTCTGGTCTGTCTGTGGTTGTGAATGATAGGCACCAGCCTGGATTTTGTGGATTCATCTAAAGAGCCCTACATTTCACAAGAGTCTGAATCACAGAAATATTTAGGTTTGAAAAGCCCACCACTATCCCATGCCCCCAAGTGCCACATCCACATGTCTTCTAAATCCCTCCAGGGATGGTGCCAGATGATGCCCACACCTCCCCAGGCACCTGTTCAGGGCTTTGGATGGGGATTAGGAGGATGGCAGGACATAAACTTGCATGTTTTTCCTTTCCAGCCCTTGAAAGCAGCCCCTTTCCCTCCACACACAGCTTCAGAAATCAGCTGCCCCTCATCTGCACTTACACTTCTCACAGCTGGGGACAGGAGGGTGCCACTTGCCCCCAAACTGGCACTGGGACTCTTGAGAGCCCTTCAAGGCATAACCAACGTTGCACTCGAAGACGATGATGTCCTCCAGGCTGTAGGCGGTCTCTGAGCCAGCCACTTTTCCATTCTGGATCTCCGGCCTGGTGCATCCAGTTGCTGGAAGGGAAGAGCACGAGGATGTGAAGAGCTGGGGATGTGAAACCCCCCTGGCTGTGGAGGGGGACCAGTGCTGGGCCTTGCCATCACTGTCAAGGGCATTTCAACATTTCCGACTCTTATTCTTACACTAAATATCATTATTCAGCTGTTCCTGAGCGTTTATACTCATGAAGAACAGAAAGGGAAACCCAGAGGGGCACTTGGGGCTCCTCCTGCCCCTGGCACCTCTGCTCCCTGCCTCTCCCTGGGGATTCCCTTGCAGTGATTAAACCAAGAGCCAGGAGGGAGGAAGGAGCCCGGGGCCAGGCAGAGGAGGCACAGAACCACAGGACACACCTCGGCAGCGGGGCTGGGGCCGGCTCCAGGTGCCCCTGGCCGTGCAGCGGACGGAGGCGTTGCCCAGCAGGGAGTAGCCCTCGGCGCAGGTGTAGAGCACCACGGAGCCCGGGCTGTGCCAGGCCCCGGGGCTGGCACTGTGCTGCCCGTTGGCAATGCTCGGAGGGGCAGGGCACCTCACCTCTGCCGGGAACAAGGAAAGGCAGCTGAGGATTAGGGCAGGGCAAGATAAACACCACAACCCCAGCCCTCTGAAAGCGAGGCAGGGAGATAACACAAGTGCGGTCAGCCAGGACGAGGTGGTGTGTAACTTTTCCAGGAATTTCCCTTAGCCCTTTTCCCCATCAGAGACAAACATCCTGGTTTTTAGAGCTTTTTCAGAAGTAATACGTCAAATTAAATTGTAATGAAAACTGAAGCAATAATAGTACCCCCCCACCAGCATCAAAAAGAAAAATCTGTTATACCAAAGTGCTAGCAAATAAGTGTTTGATGCCTAGAAAAATTATTAAAAAATTACAAATTCTCTGAGTTGAACACTGACACGAACTGCTGTGAATAAACAAAATCAGACGTGTGAGCTGTGTCCCCGTGGGTGCAGGCCCTGTCCCCTGTGCCAGGGCCAGCCAGGCTGGCTGTGGGCACACCCCGAGCCGTACCTGGGCAGCGTGGCACTGCCCCGCTCCACGTGCCATGCTCCCCGTCCGCAGAGCTGCAGGTCAGGGAGGCGTCTCCAGCTGGGGCCAGCCCCGAGGCACAGCTGTAGGTGACCACGTCCCCGAGGGAGAAGGTGTCCCTGGAGCCCCCGCTGTGTGTCCCCCGGGGGATGGCCGGAGGGGCAGCGCAGGTGACACCTGTGGGCAGCACAAGGGGAGGGTCAGCAGTGCCCGGCGCTGCAGGGCACACACACTGCCCAGGAAGGGCAGGGACCGAGGGGAAACCACCTCAGCAGTGACACAATGACCCGATTCTCCAGGAACAAACTTTGCATGGATCAAATCGCACGTGGGAAGGAAAATCTGTCCCCTCCCTTGAGTCACTTCCTTGCTGCCCGTGTCTGGAGGTTCTGAGACAATTCTTACCTCCCTTTCCATAACCATTGGTGAGACAGAGAGAGAGACTGGCCAGTGGGAAATACTTACCCACTAACAGGCACTTTAAAATATTAATATTTCTTCCCAGTTTGGACCAGAATAAATAAAAGACCTTTGAAACCATTCTCAGAAGCACATCCAAACCAAAATGAAAAGAAAAAGGAAATATTTTACACATTCAGTGACCTGAGAAATCTTTTGCAATAAAACCTTTGGCTTGAAAGAAGTTCCACTTTATCTTGTAAACCATCTCCAAGGGCCTGTTGTGGTGGCCTACTTACGCTGGCAGACAGGAGGATCCCCACTCCATGAGACATGTGTGCCAGAGACCTCACAAATTCTCTGGGAGCCTCCCACCAGCTTGTACCTGGACCACACAGAAGGATTAATTCTTTTAACAGTGAGATTTTTCAACTTGAAATTTCTTTACAACCCTTGCAAGTGGCAGCCAGGAGTTCTGACTTGGAAACTGGGTTGTGCAAAGCTGAAAATCCACTCCACTTTCCCCAGGGCAGGACTCACCCTTTGTCACAAGTGTAGTTGATTTTGGACCCGAGCAGGAGATCTGTCAGGACAACAGCTCTGCCGTTCTCTGGCTTCCCTGGGCTGGGGCACTGCTTCCCTGGAAGGGAATGGCAGCCCCCATCAGCCCTGGGCTGTGCCCACATCCCAGCAGGAATGTCACCACGGAGAGCAGGCAGAGACCCCCACGAAGCTGGGGAAAGTGCAAACCAGCCAAGCCTCACACTTGAGGCTTCCAGCCCTTGCAGGACCTACTTTCACAGAACTCCAGCACTGCAGACCACGTCTGGTTGCTGAGGCAGGTGATGGCTGGTGACACCCCCGGGAGCTGGCTGTAGCCAGGCTGGCACACGAATTCCACCCTGCTCCCCTCGGGAAACAGCGTCTGGTTCCTGTAGGGCTCCTTCAGCTCGGCAAAGCCCGGCCTGGCAGGGGCTCTGCAGCCAGCTGCCAGGAGAGAGAACAGCCTGGCTGTTACAGACCCACAAAAGGTGGATTTGGGAGAGCAGGGGAGGCTTAAGCCCTGTTGGGACACTTGCCCTGCTCGCAGACGGGCACCGGCGGCTCCCAGGTGTTGTTTGGCTGGCACTGGATCTCTCTGTGGCCACGAATGGCATAGCCTGGGTCACACTCGAAGGTCACGGTGTCCCTGTGTGCGTAGGCAGACCTGGCAGCCACGATCCTCCCGTGCTGGATCTGTGGCACAGGACAATTCGCCTCTGGAAAAGAAAGAGGTGCAGGCGTCAGAACAGCCCCTCAGGCAGAGCTGGGCAGCTGGGAACCACCAAGGGCTGCAATTTTAACACACAAGCCTGAAAATAATTTTCCCTAGAGAAGATGTTGCACCTGCACCCAATATCAAACATCTCCAAGGGCAAAGGGGACCCTGGGACAGCAGGGTGGCACTCCAACCCCCCTGCTCTGGATAATGGATAATGCTGGGGCAAAAATGCCAGCTGGCCGCAGTTTCCCAGTGATTCCCAACACAGCAGCGATGCTGGGAGGATCGCCGGGGTCCCGGCACCCTGAGGCTGCCCAGCCCACCTCCGCAGGCGGGCAGGGGCTCGCTCCAGACGCCGTTGTGGCCGTCGCGGGTGGTGCAGTGGATGGAGGGGTCCCCGTGCAGGGGATGGCCGCGGTGGCAGGTGTAGGTGACCGCCGTGCCGTAGAGGAACTCGCTCAGCAGCCGGCCCGAGTGCTGCCCGCGGGGGATGTCCGGGGGTGGCTCGCAAGGGATGCCTGCGGGGGTGCAGAACCTCAATTCAACAGCAGCGCCAAAGCCCTCAGGCTGTGGGGCACAAACACTTCTAAAGAGGGGATGAAATTACCTCCCCGGTGATGTCCTGGCAACGGGATCCCACCCAGATGGGATGAAATGACCTCCCAGGTGATGTCCTGGGAGTAGGATCCCACCCGGATGGGATGAAGTGACCTCCCAGGTGAGGTCCTGGGGACGGGATCCCACCCCCCTGGCAGGTAGAAAGTAGACCAGTAATCAAAGCTCTCTGTGGAGGAAACCCTGCATGCTTTGCATTTTCTACTTTTTAAGGAATAAGACATCGAATGCTTATTTAGCATCACTTGGATAATACCCTGGTGCCAGGTTGTGCAGCAGGCACAGTCTGTGTGTCGCCTGTGGCTCACACCCACCTGGAGAATCTGGGAAATGCTTTAAAACCCCAGAATGTACCAGCAAATGCTTCTTTCTTCGTATGAAATGGCTCTGATCAGCAGAGGAAGGCCCAGGTGGGGTTGCTGAGGAGCAGCACAGCAGCTCTTGGGCACTCACCAGTGGCGGAGAGAGGGAGCAAACCCACTTTGGGATTTTGGGATTCGCTGCTGGCCCTGGCTCAGTGCTCTGAGCTCTTAGGAGTGACCCTTGTTCTCTCTGGGTCTGACAAGACACCCCCTAAGCTGAACATGTTTTCCCTTCCTCCCCTGCAGTGGGCTCCTGGTGTCAGTCACAGCAGGACACAAGCACTGCTGGAAAAGCTCCAGCTGAGGGGTCTGAGCTGTTGCTTTCCATAATCCCTTCAGCTTTGGGATCCCCAGATTGCTTTCTTACAACTTCCAAACCTTCTGGTAATTTTCCTGCCCACAGAGGGGAGAAATTGCCTGTGAAAGCTTTGATTGGAAAGATGTGGCAGTCTCTGCTGGGAAATATTTCCCAGATCCTTGCAAACCCCCAGAGCCATGAGCTACTTACGCTGGCAGAGGGGAATGTGGCCAGTCCATGCAACACGTCCCCCAGAGATCTCACAGCGTCTGCTGGACTGTCCAATTAACCTGTGCCTGGTGTTAAAAGGGTTGGTCATTCACCCCAAGCCCTTCAGCTGGAGTTCTTGTTCCTCCCAAGCACCCGGGATGTGGGATCAGCCCTGCTGGCAGCACAGCTGTGGCCCTGAAGGGGAGGTTCCTTCCTTGCTCTGCCCGACCCACTTCCCAGCATTTATAGAGAATATTAATATATATTTAAAAATATATATATTTAAAAATAAATATATACATACACACTATAGTGTATAGGCACAATAGGTACAGAACCCTTATATAGGGGCTTCTGTACAGAATCCATTTACTGGGAGTGAATGAACAGGGGTTAAAAAGGGGGACACTCACCCAATCCACCCCCAAAACAGGACTTACCCTTCCTCACAGCTGTAAACCACTGTGGACCCAAGCTGGAGATTTGTCAGGGAAATAATCTTGCCATTCACAGGCTCGCCTGGGTGACTGCACTGTTTCCCTGGGGAAGGAAAACACCCTTATATCCTGTCTCTCTACATCACAGTAGAAAATATTCAATTATTCCTCCACTCCCCTGCCCACATTCCCAGCTCCCCCCAACACGGGTTCCAATTTCAAAGGGTTACATGGCTTTACTAGTCACATATTCAGAATAACATCAAGCTTTTGGCAGCATGGACAGAACCTGAGACCTGTTCCTCCTGCAACAACAGACACCAAATCAAGGAGCTATTCACTTTTACAGAACTCTAGAGCTTCTGACCACACTCCACTCTCAAGGCATGTCATAGTAGGTGACATTCCTGGGACTTTGGCATATCCAGGGAGGCAAGTGTATTGCACAGTCTTCCCAACAGGAAAATCAACGGCATTTCTATGCTCCTCATTTAGCTCAGCAAACTGTAACCTTGTGGGAGCACCACAAGCACCTAGTGAGAGAGAAAAGAGATGTGAGAAGCAGGCAGGACAGGCACACGGGGGCAAGCACACCAAGAGCACTGTTAGGAGGAAAGGGGCTTGGTTTGCCTTGCTAAAATGCTCATTTTGATTAATATAGCCATTAATAAAGACATTTTCCCAAAGGCTTGCAGAGGATTAGGTTCTTACTCCCAGGACAGGCTTCAATCATCCCCAAAGGGTTTAACAGCATTTTTAAACAGAATAAGGGGACATAAAATAGCAGTTATGTACCTGGAGACCTGCTGAAGGAGCTGTGGTAGGGCAGTGCTCTGTCACACTCAGGAGCAGGGGGCTGCCAGCTGCCATCCTCCTGGCAGGACACGCTGGCACTGCCCTGCAGGCTGTAACCATCGTGGCACCGGAATGTCACCGTTTGCCCGGGGGCAGAGAGGAGCCCGTGGCCACCAACTTGCCTTCCATTGGCTACGATTGGATTGATGCAGACAGTCCCTGGAAATGAGGGTGTGCAGGGGGAGTTGGAGCAGCAGGAAACACAGAACCACAGGCTGTTATTGCTGGAACCACAGAACCAGCGTGGTGTCCACACAAACCTCCCCAGCCTTGGGAAGGCTTGCCATTAATTGATTCCATGATGCACTTTACATGGAATTAACCCTCTTGGAGGATCTGTTTGCACTGGTGAGGGTGTCCCCTGTGCTCAGGGCCACACTGAATTTGTCATTTGAGGGGACAGAGCCCAGACTCACCTTCATGAAGGTCTCAGTGGATTCGGTGAGGGTGTCCCCTGTGCTCAGGGCCACCCTGAGTTTGTCCCTGAGGGGACAGAGCCCAGACTCACCCTGGCAGCGAGGGAGGGGCTGGCTCCAGTTCCCCGATGCTCTGCAGGACACGGCGGCATTTCCAACCAGGTAATAGCCAGGATTGCAGCTGTACCTCACTGACATCCCAGCCATAAAAAACGCTTTGTCCTCCAGGTAATAGCCAGGATTGCAGCTGTACCTCACTGACATTCCCATGGTGAATCCTGCTGTGTTCCGGCCGTTGTGATTGCCATTGGCGACCTCGGGAGGCATCGGGCACGGCCGGACTGCGGGAGCGAGATGGGAAATTGAACTCAGCGAGAGACCGGGGAGCGAGGATGTGCACGGATGGGTGAAATCACGGATGGGTGAAACCCCTGCCTGCATCAAATCCCTGCCTGCACCCCCTGTTCCTGAGCAGCACTCACCCCTCTGGCACACGAGCTCCGGCGGGTCCCACATGCCCCCGGGCTGGCACCGAGCCTCATCGGAGTCCTCTGCGGTGTAACCAGCATCACAGCCAAAGTGCAGAGTGTCCCCAGCTCTGTAGCTGCTCTGCACGTTGTGGACCTTCCCGTTCTGCACCTCGGGCACCTGGCAGCCGATCGCTGTGGGAGCAGGGACAGCATCCTTTAAACATCCCTGCACGGGGAGCTGGATGTGCACACACCGAGCCCTCTGCTCCCCTCCGAGCCACAACCCTGCTCTGACCCTCCGGCACCCCTCCTGCCTCCCCAGCCAGGAGAGACCCCCAGAGACCTTGACAGCGGGGCAGGGGCCGGCTCCAGAGCCCCGAGTCCGTGCAGGTGATGGTGGCGTTGCCGAGCAGCTCGAAGCCCTCCGTGCAGCTGTAGGACACGGCCACCCCCCGGGAGAAGCTGTCCTTGGAGCGGCCGCTGTGCAGCCCATTGGCGATGCTCGGTGGCCGGGGACATGTCACCTCTGCAGGGGAAAGAAAGCGTCCTGTGGGTCTGCTCTGGGGCACTCAGGGGCACTCAGGGGACACTCAGGGACACTCAGGGGACACTCATGGACACTCGGGGGGCACTGAGGGGACACTCACCCTTTTTGCACTGCGGCAGAGGGGGGTCCCACCTGGAGGTGGCCCCGCAGGTGCTGCTGCCGGGGCCCTGCAGGGCGTAGCCCGGGTTGCAGGTGACACTCACGGTGTCCCGTGTCCGGTAGGAAGAGCGACGAGGGGACACGGTCCCGTAGGGCACCCGGGGGAACGGGCACCAGGCAGCTGGGGGGACAGAAGGGACATGCTGACCTGCACAGCTGCAGGGACCCCCCCATGCTGAGGGTGTCTGTGCCCCGAGCCCTGGGGGTGCAGCTGGGGTGGGGGTCCCTGGGCTGCAGGACCCTCCCTGTGCTCCTCAGGGACCCCGCTGCCACCTCAGCTGGCACAATCTGCGTGTCCAGGATTTCGTGTGAACACCCAGCAGGGTCAGGAGCCTTTCCTGGCCTTTCTGCAGGCTCTGAAGCCCCTCCTGAGGGCCCAATCCCACCCAGAAAACACTGACAGGGCAGGCCAGGAGTGAGCCAAAGGCACCCAGGGATCTGTGCTGTGCCAGGGGCTGGGGGTGCCCAGCCTGGGCTGGGGGTGCCAGCTGTGGCTCTGACGATGTGCCAGCTGTGGCTCTGATGCTGATGTGGCTCTGCCATCAGCAGAGGAGCTCAGGGCTCTGTGGTGCCAAGGTCCACCTGGGACCCGTGCAGGGCTCCCTTTCCCTGGGCAGGGAAGGGCACAGGGACCAGCGAGGACAGAGCAGCCATGAGGAGCAGGAGAGCAGTGGGAGGAAGGCCCCAGGGGAGCAGAGCTGCTGCTCTGCCTTACCTTGAGCCCCGGGCGTGGTGCTGAGGAGCAGAGCGGAGCTGCCCAGCAGGCAGAGGGTGAAGGTGGGCACCATCCCTGGCACAGACAGCAGCTCCCGGGGGCACGGGGCAGATATGGGCGCCCCAGTTCCCCCCAGTGCCCCCGTGGGAGGAAGGAGATGCTGCTGGGGGACTTCCCAGGACGGTGGGACAGGAACCTGTGGGCTGCCCAGGCACAGCCAGCACCCCCAGGGGGCTGCAGGTGCCCCAGGCTGCTGCTGGTTTTGGCAGGGGGGTGGGAAAGAGGGGTGAGAAAGGGCAGGATGCAGGCAGAGGTGCTGCAGCTGCACTGTGCCCCTGGTGCAGAGCGTCCCCCCCTTGGGGGAGTGGGCCAGGGGCTGTCCCAGAGCCCAGGGGGTGGTGGTGGCACCTGAGGGACACGGCACATCCCAGGGGTGGGACGGGCAGAATGAGGCATTCCATGAAAATGGAATGTCCAGCTGGGGACACAAATCCTCCTGAGCCGACCCTGGGCTCATCCCTCCCCTCTGGCAGGAGGAACAAACCCCCAGACAGGACTTTAGGATGAGGAGCAGCCCCAGCAGCTCCAGCTGCCCACCTCACCCAGGTGACACTTCCTGAGCCTAAAGCAGGCAGCAGGACATGAACTGCTCAAGTCCTTTTATTTCTTTTATTGGCAGAGAGCTTCCAATACTTACAAATCCAACGTTCACCCTTCAGAATTGCACTTGGTCATTTGCACTCAGATTATAAAGAGAAATGGTGTGCAATTGATTACAAATACAGTAAATAAACCCTCTCCAATGGTAAATTTTGGTGACCACACCTGGAAACAATGTTTCAGCATTCACAATTCCTTTCATCTGATTGTGGGGTGATAATTCCAAGCTAATTCCTGAATCACATGTTAAATCATTTGGAAAAAAAATCACTTTGGACTGTGCAGTATGAATAAATGTGCTTGAGATTAAAAGAGCAAAACCAAACACAGTCCAGAGCTGCGAGGCTTTAGGTTGTACTTTGTCCATTTAGTCACTCACATGGCTTATGGTAAAAGAGAAATAAAAATGACCAGCAACGTGCAAGTGCTTGTTCTGCAGGCTGAAAAAAGGATCTGCAGTGCCCCTGTGACAGCTGAGCAGGACAGTGCCCTGCTGGGGACAGAGAACTTGGGGGTCTGTCTGGAACAAGGCTGATGTGTGGATGGAAATGGTTGTTTGTGGGTTTCCTTCTTATTAAAGGCATGTTCCTGCTAGCAGGGGAAAATGGAGAAACCAAAGGTCTGTAGCAGACACATTTTGGATGGTTCCTGTTCCCAGTGTGCATCATGAGAAGCTCCCAGATGGGTGATTTGCCTCTGCAGCAGACAAAACCCCAAACCTCAACACTTTGCTTTACCAGCAGCTAAAAGTCTGAGTGTCTCAGGCTTAGGCAGTCAAAACTCCACCACAGTGGTGTTTCCCTTCTGAGCAGGAAACCTTCCCATCATATCTCCATTTTATGGCAGCTTGTCCAGTGATCTTTAGCCAGGCTGAGTAACAGCCAGGAAAGGACACCAATGCCTCAGCCTTGCCATCAGCCAGAGAAACCCGGGGCATTTTGCCACATGGTCCCTCCCTCAGCTCTCTCCACGCTCACACACATCCTCAGCACAGCCACGGGTGGCTCAGGGCAGGCAGGTGAGACAAAATGCCCAAAAGCTGTGGGATTGGTGTCCTGCTCCCAGGACAAAGGTCTTTGGCATCTGTGTGGCATCACCCAGGGAGAGCTGCCCTTGAGTTCTGAGCAGCATTGCAGAAGTTCTGAGCAGCGTTCCAGAAGTTCTGAGCAGAAGTTCTGAGCAGCGTTCCAGAAGTTCTGAGCAGTGTTCCAGGTGGCTTCCAAAGCACTCCAGTCCCACAGAGCAGTGCCAGGGTTTCCTGGCAGTCACGGCTTCAAGGCCACTCTCTCAGGAGGGAAAAGCAGAGCACTGCCTCACCTCCCTCACCACAATTCCCAGGAAAGCTCAGGCACTGGACACCAGTGCAACAACAGCAATTAATTGAGCAGAAGCAATTAATGAACTTGATTATATCCAGCAAAGAATGAGAGTGCAAGATCATTTGAGCCACTCTATGGGAAGGCTTGATTAGTGAATATGAAATAAACCCCAGAGCCAGGACACCATTATTCCTTATTTTATATTCCTTTTATTTACAAAACAGTTTTACTATGAATGCTGTAAATTTTGCACTTTTATCTGCACTAGGAAAGAACCTCAGTTAAAAAGAAGTCGTTTAAGAAATACAAATAAATCTTGCAAGATTGTGCAAAGAGGAAATTATTTTCCTAGAGCAAAGAAACGTTTACTGACTTTTTAAACTCTTGCTTTAAGAGCTGCAAAAATACTTGTTCATACAAAAATAAACAAAAAAGTGGGCATTAAATCAACACAGCGGTGGGTTTGAAGTGTGTTTGGTTTTTCTGCTTCTTTGCCAGCTCAGGTGGAGGCAGAGCCTTGATTTCAGGTCCCTTTATTGCACTGAGAGCTGAATCCCTGCAGGGGACTGAACTCCCCTTCCCTCCTCAGCTCCTGGATTTATCCTGCAAAGGGAAACAAGCAGGATCAGGGGGAGCCCCTCGGCCTGGGGAGGGTCTGAGGAGCCCCGTGCCCCTCCCCAGGGACCCCGGGGTGTTTGGGGTGCCCCTGCAGCTCCTACCGTCGGGTGCCAGGCGCTGGGGCTGGCACAGGTGAGCGTGGGTGGGCACCGAGCACACGGGGCAGAGGTGGCAGCCGGGGCTGTGCACAGGGACCAGGTGGGCCGGGGTCCCCTCCCCGGCCAGGGGACACACGGGGCTGCTGGCTGTGTCCCCGTGGACCAGGGACAGGAGCTGTCTGTCCGTGCAGGGCGGGCACACGGGGCCCTGGGGGCTGTGGGGAGAGAGGGGAGGTGGGTCCCAGCGGGGTCGTGACAGGACCTGCCCCTCTCCACACCACCCTGCACAGGCCCCAGCACCCACAAAAGCTGCTTTCCTTCACAATTTTCCTTTTTAAATCCAACAGGCAGCGGTTCAAGAGCGCAGAACTGCAGCTCCCCCAGGACTGCAGCTCCCTGCCAGTGGAACAGGAACTCACAGGAATAAATGGAAAAACCCCGGAGCAGCAGCAAGGAGTTCACACTTCCCAAAGCCAAAGCAAGCAGATGCACATGCCCAACCATGTTTATCTGGTTTTTCATGGGAATTTGCCTCTGTCAGTGGTGACTCTGTTAAGGAAGCTTTGTCAGCCTGAGAGAGCACCAGACTCACATGGGGGAGTGTCAGAAATAAATAAATAAGAGTGTCAGAAATAAATAAATAAACTGAGCAAACAGCTTCACCTCATCTCTTCTCTGGCCCAAAACCTTACCCTGCCACAAGCAAAGGAACCACACCCACAGGGGGAAAAGCCCTGGGCAGTGGCTGAGAAGAGGCTCCCACTGCAGGGTCCCACCTGGGCCCTTTGCTGCTCCCCCAAAAGCAGAGCCCCAAAGAGCACGAGGCCGAGCCAGGTGAGCAGAGCTGAGGAGCACAGGCTGTCCAGAGGCACCCAGGGAAACCCCACAAGCATCACCTGAGTGAACCTCACCCAGTTCCTCTCTCCTGTGGAGAAGCACCACACTTTACCTGGCACAGGGCGAGGAGCAGCCAACATCCACCCACTGCCACCTGCTCTGATTCTGAGTTCCACCTGCTTTTGTTCTGAGTTAAGCTGTGAGCTCTCAGCCTGGAGGGCGCTGGGCACACCCTGCAGTGCCGTGGGGAGCTGCCTGCCCTGGCCACACTCACCCCTTGTCCTGGCACTCCCCCGGTGTCCCAGCACTGCTGTCCCCAGCGTGGGCACGGAGCCAGCTCTCACAGGTGGGACAGATGTGGTCGCTGTGGAGAAGAACCATTGAGGGTGGGCACTGAGAGCAGGGATGTGCCTTCCAGAGCATGGTTCTGAGGCTTGGAATATCCTGGGATAGTGGGAGGTGTGGGGGTGGGATGAGATGAGCTTTAAGGTCCTTTCCCACCCAAACCATTCTGGGATTCTCTGATAAACACATTTCTACTCTGTTCTGAAATTCACTGATTTTTGTCCATGCCCACTGTGGCACCTGGGTATTTTTGGGTATTTTTAGGTGGAGGACTGACCTTTGGTGGTCCATGGGCTGCTCTGCCTCCCTCCACCACGGAGCAGCTTCTCCTGTGCCATCTGCCCTCGGCACATCCACAGCTTTGGCAGGAGAGCTGAACACAGAGAGAGAGAGGATAAGCTGAGTGTGGCTTCCCAAAAACACCCACGGCCCAGCGCAGCCACTGCTCCCTAATATCAAACCCTTGCTCCTGCTGAAGCAGGAACCACAGGAATTCCAGCTGCAAAACTCGCTTTATCCACATGGAGGTGCTTCCTCCCCCTTTCCCCTTGTTCTCCTCCTCCTCCTCCTCACCAGGGCAGCAGAGCTGGGTCTGTACCTGGTGCCTGCTGGGCTCGGGCTGTCCCCAGCACCAACGCTGGGCACGGAGTAGCTGCGGGGTTTTTGGGAGCTCAGCCAGCCCTGGCAGGCGGCGCAGCCGCGGTGTGGGGGCTCTGAGAGAGGGGCCAGGTCACCGTGGAGCTGCTCCTCACAGCTGGGACACACGTGGCAATTCCCTGTGTGGCTGTGGATGAGAGAGATGGGAAATCCACCCAGAGAGCAGCCAGGAGACCCCAGACCCTCCCGAAGCCCCCTTTGGACAGCAGGGTGCTCATCGTGGCATTTGAAATCAAAAACTGCTCAAGGATCTTTGCACAGGCGAGCTCAGCAGCAGTGAGACTCTTTGCTAAAGTCAGAAGTCTGGCACAAGTTTTTGGGCAGGTGAAAACGCAAACCTACCAAAAATAGGAATTCCAGGGCTTGGGGTGCTTCTTCTCATCTGTGACCTCTGGATGCATCGCTGCATCCCTTCCCTTCATCTCCTGCTTTTGTAAATTCACATTATAAGAGCTGGAGAGAGAGAAAAGGGGAAAATTGTAGAATAAAAAGAAGCTTCACAACATGGAAAAATCATGCTAGCCATGCAAATATACTGA